AGAGAGATGCAGAATCAAGGGCTGGGGCACGGCTCTTGGGAGGAGGGGCTTGGCGTTAACCACTGTGGTTGAGGAGTAGGTTAAAGATGAGACGCCTATGGTCTCCCGGGGGTGAGGACAAGGTCCTGGCTGGGAGTTGACATTGGGGAGTCCTCAGCATGTAGGTGGTTATTGAACTAAGGGAATGAGGGAGGGCAGAGAAGAGAAAAGGCCCAGTGATGATGGAGCCCATCCATAGTGGCCTGGCGAAGAGGAGGAACCAGCAGAGGAGACTGGGAAAGTGCAGATACAGGGTTAGAAAAAGAGTGGCATCCCGAAGGCCACGGTCCGCTCAGAGCAAGCACGATGCCAGGGAGAGTAAGTGCATCCGTCAGAGATGGACAATCCTGGCTCCCTGCCTTTCCCACTTCCACTGGGAAGCTATTTCTTGAGCCGGAGATGAGTCTTCTGCACCCCGGAGCCCTGCTCTTCCGGAAGGGCAGAGACACATAGCTTAGCAATTCTTTGTGGTGCACCGAGAGTGAGGCAGCTCTTGTGGTGGAGATGGGGGTGCACAGAATGGGGGCAGACAGTGTGGGCCTGGAGGAGCTGCTGAAGGTTTTCTCAGGGGAGGAGGGTCCAGGGAGGGCAGGACCCTCACGTAGACCATGGAATGACGTTCACAGTGGCTTCCTGAGGGTGGGCTCTAGATCTCTCCAGGTGAAGGTGGGGTGGGGAGGCCGTTCCTAGCAGTCTGCGGAAGAGTCACAGAGGTAGGGACATCTAAAGAGGCCACAGGGAATGGTGGGAGGCCTACTTGGGTTGGGGACTCTGACCTTTGGGGCTGCTTGGAGACAAGGTGCAGAACTGGTGCAGAGAGGCAGCGGGAACCCTTGACCCCAAGGAGCTCGCAGTCAGTTAGAAGGTGAGCAGAGCCCCAAGGTTCAGCACAAGGGTAGACACACCAGTGGAAGCTCTCTCCGCAGGAGGAGCTTGGCTGGATGGAATCAGGGAAGGCTGCCAGTGGGAGGTAGAGCTTGGAGAGCGTGTGGGCTTTGAGTGTGGCCAGATGCACAGAACGGCTTCCTGGCAGAGAAGAGCACACGTGCCAAGGTATGGAGGCAGGAGTGTGCAGCACGTGTCCAGGAAGCAGAGCTTGATGGGAGAGGAGATTAGCCGGATCCTTTGGAGTCAGACCCAAAAGGCTTCACCCCCACCCCCCCACCCCAACCTTATTGCATGGGCACTGGGAAGC